CCAGTGCAGACTAATTGTGCTCTTCATTAATGGCATAATGAGTATCTTATTATTTATTCTGAAGCTCAAAGATGTTGTGACTATTATAGTCAGCAGCTCTTTTTACCCATTGATCAGGGAATATTCAGATGATGACCGTTCTAGTGGGTACTTCACCATGTTGGTTGTAGATTGCCTTTTAAAATGGAGTTGACAGTGCTATTACTTTTACTGTTTACTTGTGCAGAATCTACGTGTAAAACAACACATAATTTGCAGCTTTAGATACAGAAGATGGCAGTATTGTGCATTTTAGAACTGATGGACCATACACATCCATGAATGTTTTGAGAAAACAATTATTTTAAAAAATGATATTTTATTTAGGACTTACAACTACAACTCTTCTTCATCCTTTTAGTAGAGCAAGTACGATAACTTTTCTTTAAACCGTCTCTAACTCAATATTGAGAAGTTCAGTCATTTCTTTCAGTAGTATCATACATTTCATTATGGCATTTTCCCAGTATACTTGGGGAAATAGTTGTCTTAAGGTTTTGTGTTTGAATAGTGAAAAGGATAATCTCTTTATAAGGCAAGGCAAAAGGCATCATCCATAACTGACCTTCATAATGATTCTGGAAAAAAGCTGTAATCCCAATAATTTCATTTTGTGTCCATTTTGTTTATTCTCCTGAATTTACAGATATAGCAACTGCTTGCTATTCAAAAACAGGTGCAGAGTTCCATGCAACTTTATTGACCCAGTGCAGTGAAAGTTTTTTTGTCAGAAAGATACAAATACTACCATTCCAGGTTGGCTAGATCCATTTATGTGTCCAAAATAATACAGATTTCTGGCCAGTAATTGTTAGCCCTTATACTGGGTTTGTAGAACAGACACCTCTTCACATATGGTTTATTTTTGTGAAAAAGAATGTTCACAGAACTCACTCTTCCATGTTTCCCAAAGAAAAATGTGCCTACACCATATGATAATAGAATCTTTTGAATTAGAAGAGACATTAAAAGGCCATCTAGTCCAACTCCCCTGCAGTGAACAGGAACACCTACAGCTCCATCAGAGTGCTCAGAGCCCCATCCAGCCTGACCTTGAGTGTCTGCAGGGACGGGGCTTCCACCACCTCTCTGGGCAACCTGTGCCAGTGCCTCACCACCCTTATTGTAAAAAACTTTTTTATGCCCAATCTAAATCTCCCCTCTTTTAGTTTGGAACCACTGCCCGTTGTTCTGTCACAACAGATCCTTCTGAAGAGTCTGTCCCCTTCCTTCTTAGTCCCCCCTTAGACTGAAAGGCTGCTCTCAGGTCTCCCCAGAGCCTTCTCTTCTTCAGGCTGCACAGCCCCAGCTCTCTCAACCTGGGCTCATAGGGAAGGTGTTCCATCTCTGATCATTTTTGTGTGTATATATGCTCCATTGAGAGAAGGTAGATATGAAGTACACTGATTATACTTTATGCAGTGGAGAAACATTTCTCATACCACCTCAAATTGAATACCACATTCCCTTCAGATATATAAGCATTGATAAGGTCCCCCTTCAGTCTTCTCCAGGCTGAACATTCCCAGATCTGTCAGCCTTTCCATCCTTCCCCACTGCACTGGAAGTTGCTTATTCCCAGTGCTAGCCCTACTGTGGGTGATCCTCAGTGCTTTTCACTGCAAAGTGCCTGCTTGAAGGTAATATATGAAAAATCTAGAGAGCAAATACTTCCCATGCCTGCTAGCTAATGGCTACATTTCATTCTCAAGGGATGAAAGTTTTCTAGACACTGTCTACTTCTGTGAGCACTGATAAAAACTGTGTAAACACTGTAAAATACTGTAAACTACTTTTCCAATACTACAATGATAACAGTGATTATGGGCCCCATACCATACCAAACTCCCACCGAAGTTAACAAAAAACTCCCATTTTAAGACTTAGGCTGCCCCTAAAAAGACAACACTGATCTTTTTGATGATGCTGACATTCTTGTAGATGAGCATCTCACCAGCTTCTGAAATCTGCAGAAGCATTGCACTTGAGGAACTGCAAAGTTCTTGTACAACCGGACCTACATTTCTCTAGGTAGATTTCCATGAGTGACTAATGCTGACAGTAGCACATTGACTCTTTCCTTATAAGAGTTGAACACAACTATTTAAGACTAAAGATTAACTTCCTCAGAGTTCAAAACTGTTAATTTGTCAAATTTGAAAACTGAGGGCAAGTTTGGCCATAGCTGTTAATTAACTTATATGATGGCTATCAATATTTTACTTTCCTGGGATTTTTCCATTTTGAAGACATTGAAAGAAAACTGCATTGCTAATAAGACTGAGAGGATGGAAGGGTTTTGTTTTACCAAATGAGATGGTCTTTGAGTCTCAGTCCTTTCTTAATTTGTTTAGGAATCCGAATTGCAGTATGTTGTTAAGTATACACATATAGATTATAGATGAACTTCTGGAGGTCAGAAGCACTGAAAAAAAAATACTGCTATTTTCACTCAGCATACAAATTTGTTGAGTACAAGAAGAGAAATAGTTCTTTGCAGTAATTCAATGATATTTTTAAATTGATGATTATGCATAGGATTCTATAGGTTTTAAGTTGTGCCAGGTGAGGTTGGATATTAGGAAAAGATTTCTTCTCAGAAAGTGTAGTGAGGTATTGGATGAGGCTGCCCAGGGATTTGGTGGAGTCACTGTCCCTGGAGGTGTTCAAGATCTGTGTGGATGTGGCACTGCTGGATGTGGTTAGTGGGCATGGTGGTTGGACTAGATGGTCTTAGTGGCCTTTTTCAACACTAATGATTCTATGATTCTCCATGGCTGTCACATGTGGCTCAATAGTAGTTGGGAAAAACAAAGTTATTTTAAAAGAGAAGCTATTAAAAATCAAGAACGTCAACATTTTGAATTGAAAACATACTCTGTAAGCATGTAGATTGTCTTTTGTTGAAGCAAATTGATGTCTTACTGATCAACCAGTGGCAAACTCAGGCATTGTCAAATAGTGCTACATTTCCAGCCAAAATGGATGAAAAGAGATTTGTCCGAAAGTTATGCATGCATGTAGGTTTGTTAATGAAAACAAGGTGGCAAAATGTACATCTTCTATATTGTGCTAATATACTCTCGATCTGAAAAGTGACAGTGCTTTTTATGACAGTATTAATAAAGTGGGCAGCCAGTTGGGTGCCTTTGGCACACATCGAGGTTGCTACTCACATCCATACCAATTGCAGAACACATCTGTATGAGCTCTGAGCTGAGGTGTTTATCACATTGCTCCTTCCCCTGGTCCCTCCCCTTGCCACCAGGAAAATCATCAGTCTTGCTATGTGCCAGTGTGATAAATCAGTGAAATCCACCATCCTGGATGGAAGTCAGCAGCCATGGCCAGGGAATCCAGCTGTACGCTCCAAGGCTGTTCCTGCTGAGCGCTTTGTGCCCACTGTGTACTTTGACACTGGCTTCATGTGTTCATAAGGACCGATTTCCAGAGAGGTGACGACGCATCCCAACTGCAATCATTTTCATTTGCTTGTGGGAAAGCAGTGCTTTGCTTTTCCCGCATTTTCCAATGTACCGCAATATGTCCCCCAGAGGTACAATGGAGTTCAAACACTCTTTATTGAAGCAATGAATTTAGCATGAGGCAGATAATGCTCACAGTCTTTTTAGCTTACAAATTCTACAGAAAGCTGGTAGTCTTTCCTGCATCTGTATGTTTTTTTAGTGGTCTCCATTTGTTGCATGTTAATTTGAGCCATCATTAAAAAGGAGTACGTCACTTTTTCGTTTTCATAGACATTGATTGCACATCTAAGCAGATAACAAATCCAATAGTTTTGTACTCTGAGCTGGTTGTCTAGAGTGAGTAAACAGCCATTCAGGAATCAGCTTGATTTAATGACTTTTAAAAGTGGGGTATCAATTCCTTTAACAGTGACTTCTAAAAATAAGACTAAATTAGTGAAACAGTAAAATCTCAATTACCTGAAAGTCCAAATACCTTATCTAGTAAATACTGATTATTGTTTTCCATAAATTCAGTCCCACAGTTACATAAAATGTTCTCACCGGTAGTCATTCTTGTGAAGGTCTTTGGGTTTGCAGTCTCAAGACACACTTCTCTGTGCTAACAGGCCGACTGAAAGTAATTTTAAAGAAATCTTCAATTTAGGAACTAGCCTTTAATCAGAATGGCTACAAGGGAGGGCATGCAGCAGCAGAGTGGAATAAAATAATCCTGACTTGCTGCCCAGATGGCAAAGGCTGTTCAAGTATTTGCGAGTTTCAATTATTTCAGTTGCTGAATTCTTTCTCCTCTGCACGTACTTCTTTGTCTTTGAAAACATTTCATTGAAAATGTAATATACATCATTAGTATATTGCCATACGTATGTGAGTGTACATATACACAGCATATTGTGTAAACAAAACTGGAATGTGTCTTTATGAACTATGCATACCCGCTTCCCTACGTAGTCCTTCTGTTGTGTATTCTCACATTCCAGTTGTTACTGTCATGATTCTCCAACAGGAAGAAAGCAGTTCTCTGTATTTATAATTGATGTAGCTCAAAGTGATGCCTCAGAAGCTCATTTTGTTGGTTACAGTGCAGGAGCAACTGAACCATGTGTGCTGTGGGTAGTGTGTGCTATCTAGCCACCAGAGATGCAAGGTGGCCAGGTGTGGGGTGGCTCAGACGTTTATGTGTGTGTGCCTGGGGGGAAAACAGGAACATATCACTGTGTAATGCTTTGCATTATTCCAAAAAGGGAGAATGAAAAACCTATTACAGGTTGTTTTGTTGTTGTTGTTGTTTTGTTGTTTGTTTGTTTTTTTAACTACAGAGAAAGGTAGCAAGTAATGAAGTAATGAAAACAAGACATTTGTTTCTAGTGCCTGTTTATCTAAAATAACAGAGGTTAATTATTAAACCTTTTGCTTGGTCGCTTACTTGTGCTGCTGATGCTTTAATCCTGGGTCACAGAAAGTTTAAGAGTGCTTTGCACCAGAGACTTACTTCTTTTAGCCTCAATTTTTCCACACTGAAAGGATGTTTGGAGTTTTGCTGCTTGCTTTCTCTGTAGTTTCTGTCGCTTCTGCTGAGCTCTGCAAGCCAGGTAAGTTTTGGAGCTGCTGATTCCCACCCCTCCTGAGGGAAATCTAGCTCTGAGTGTATTCCTGCACAGCGGTCAGCTTCTTATGTTTTTAATCTAGCTGGTTGCCTCCAGTTTGAATACAGAAACTCTGAGCATTCACTTTTCTGAGTGCAAATGAAGTGCAGATGTTGTTCTTACCTGTTCTAATGAGGTAGGGGTAAACCTGACTGAAAATCTGCAGGGCTGCTGCATGTTTCATGCTATTAGCTTCTAGTTCTCCTAACCGGTTAATCTGCTATGGCAACTTTAAATCTGTGGTTAGTAAAATAATTAGAGAAGTAAATGATTTAAAATCCCATCTCGTCTGAATATCAATACATTTACCTTTTTTCTCTTTGTGTCAGATGCACAGAATGCTTTCAAAGTGCGGCTTAGTATCAAAACAGCTTTGGGAGATAATGCAGTAAGTAAAGTATCTTCACATATTGTTCCTAACTAAATATCTGTCAAAATAGAACTAATGCACACTGTACACTTTCTGAAGGCAGCACAAGCAATTTGTTCTGAAGTATTAATTGTAATAACTTCTCAAGTCGTGACATTTGACCAGCGTGCTCCTTAAGATGACGTTCTTTATTAAAGTGTAAAGCTTGTCTTTTCTTGAAGATAATTTTCTGTCAAAGTCCTTTTTTTCTCCCCTGCTGGAAAAACAGTAGAGATGCTGCATTTTGTGCACGAGGGACACTGTAAATCTAAGTCTGCATTTTGGGAAAAGCACTCCTGCTTGAGAGAGCTAGTTGTAAAGTCAAGCATGCCTGAGATGATAAGCTGGAAAAGATTTTTAGGTCTTTATGAAATGGGATTTTATGTCAGGCTCTCAGGCAAGTGTGATCTGTAGAGATCATTCAAGCATATCTGATCAATTTCCTGCTAATGTAGGTTTCAGATAGTGCCCTTTCTTCTCTGCCTGTGGTGCACAGGTTAGTCTCATGAGGACTGAATGCTTTGTCTTAATTAGAATCCTTTCACTTAATGTAGAACTTCTGGGATGAATAATAGGGGGCTGTAATACGCAGAAGTTTGGGAAATTAGGTGGCCAAATGGTCCTTCCAGTTCTAAAGTGCTATGAGATACAGAAGAACACGGTATTTCATTTGCAGTATTGAATTCTTGCCACAAATCTCCAGTGTGTTACAGTGCTTTGCATAAAATTAGATATGAAATATCTTGGACAATAAGCTGCACTGGAAGTCTAGTGTTTGATTATTAGTAGTCCTGGAAAATAAGATGCCATAGAGTAGGTGTTAGAAGAGACTGGAAATATGAGAATCACCCTCTGACCACAGAGGCCATTCAAAAACGACCTTGAAATATTAGATAATTCAAACTAACATTAGCAGGGTACTAATTCCACTGGGAACTTTATAAACCAGATAAATTTAAAAGAAATAATCAAGATACATACTAAAGTACTTGTCTATGGAAATTAATATTGAAGTCAATCCTCGTGGGTGAGAGATTTTAATTAAAAAACGGTGCGAGCCTGCATTGTTTAAAAATTTATTGAAATAGTGTAATCCTGTGGCTGAAAATACGTCAAAATCATTAATGAAGCTTCTTATAATAACTACTAATATTTTTTTAAATCTTGGTTCAAAACCTTAGGAAATAATAAAAATGGTTGTTTGCAACAGTGCTGTTTTTTAGTGCTTTTTTTAGTTCTCCAACTATAATAAAAGACGGGAGATTTGTTTGATCATTTATAATTTTTCTATTTTTCATCACAAGAAAGGTATGATACAAATCATTAATCTTAAAGGTACTTTATATTACAAGGGAAAAAAAAGCAATAACTGTGGAGCCTTTTATTGGTTTTTGGTAGATAGATAGTAGTTTATTTCATTTAACAAAATGTATGTAAGACCTGAGAATGAGACAATCTAAAACTTAAACAATGTTTTAGAACATTGAAAGAGTTATAACACTGAAAGAGTTATGGTGCCATACAAAGTTATCCGCAGATAATGAAGAATTTATTAACTTCTGTTAACAGCTAATAGTTCCTTTTCAGAGCCATCACAGTCTTCTTTGCAAATGACTGAAACTGAAAACTGAAACTGAAATTCATTTCAGTTTAAGAATTTGGTAAACTTCGATCTTATTTTTATTTTTAGCAAATAATAGGGTAGGTAAATCTCTCATATATCACAATAGGAGAGAATCAGCTTGGAATATCTTGGTATGATGCTTTGCTGTTTAATTCTGTTTCATTCATTTACAAGTCACTTCAATCTAGATAACAGCAGAAGACCCTGATACCATGATCATTTCACTGTAGGACTGGCAGGATAATCCTGGTTCAGGAGCATAGAAAATAGGTTAGTATAGTTTTCCAAGTGGTTTAATGCATAGCATGCTCTTTGTGTGATGCTAACACAGACAGACACCATTTTTTCATTTGTCCACAAGGTGGGCTGTACTTTTAGGCAGGGAGTGCCATTTTTTGTGTACTAATGTTGGAAATAACAGCTAAAATACAGTAAGCATCTAGCTGTTTTCGTGCTACTTGGTAGTATCGGATGTACATGGAAGAGACATTGCTTGCTATGCACTGGGAGTAAACTTAAAGGGATGATGATTTATGGGACTGTGTCTCCCTGACGATGGCATTACATTTACTAGCAGCTTCTACAGTGGCTGCTAATCATCAGTTGCATTAACAGCAGACAGTTAATTCAGAAGGGCCAAAGACAACCATAGGGAGTACATGTGATGTGTGATGTGTTTCTCGGATATACATGTAGTGCACTAAACATAAACATACCAAGTACATATACTTGAGAGTGTTGTACTGCATTTGTGTCCATGTAAGCATGCAGGAGAGTGTGCTTCATCGTTGTCCATCATCCATCTATTTAAATACAGATGCATTTAAAATTATGGTAAATAGTTTTATGGCTTATACCTATATTTCTTCCTCTACTACGTTGTCTCTTTGTCTTTTAACACTATTGCTGACATTACTGTCATGTTTTCATCAGTGACATGGGATCAAAATACAAGCTTTAAAATATTTTTATTCAAACTGTCCCTCTTTTGCTTTCAGTTTAAGCTCCCAGACTGGCACACATCACACTGTAATTACCTCTCTTCCTTCACAAGGCAGGAGTGGTGAGTCAGACCCACAATTCCCAGAACTGCCTATGGATTTTAATGCTGGTTAAGTAGTCTATTGCTCAGCTCTGTGGTACCTGTCTGGTCATATCTCTACCTATTTCACCTGTTTTCATCTGTTTAATGATGATAAATATGATCGGCTTTTTGCCCTTTAAATGGCTGCCTCCTTCCCTATTCAGGTTCCCAGTCTGCAGAACGTCAAAGCAAAATGTGTGATGGTGTCTGGAAGTTGGATCCCTCCTTGTTTCTGCAGAGAAACTGCAGCAGTTCCATACATCCAAAATCAGAAATTAAAAAGCAGAATTAAGATTTGGCATTTTCAGTTGTGTTTGCTTACTCTACTCCTGTTCTTTGAGTGTGTTATAAAGTATGAAAAAGTAGTCCCAGGTTGTTATCAGGGTTAAGTATCCACACTATTGGATTTCTGGTTTGGATGATTACAGTGCAGATTTTTTTTAATGCTGAAAGTTAAATATTAGATTTGTGTTCTGATTGACTGAAGAAAACCGCATCGAACCTCCACTAATATCATTCCAACAAACTATTAATCTTTGTAATCTGCTGAAAAGGAGAAATTCAATCAGTGAGTCATGGTCACGGCTATTGTTATAAAAATGTAATACGTGTAGTTTTTGCTGGTCATTAGAATTGCATATGGGAATGAAAGCACAGGGGAACCAAGTGAAGCTTTCTCAGAAACGTGAAATGAGGGCAGCATGATTTTTCAGCAAGACAACACAGAAGAGTTTTGGGAGCCTGTATTTTATTTGTTACTGAAGGACAAAGGATGCTTTTTTCTTTCTTTCTTCTCAAATTTGATGTCGTAATTAGTTGACTCTATCTTCATGCTTATAATTAAGAACAGCATGCAGCAATGAGGCCATAATCTGTTTGTTGGTTGTTTTGTTTTTTTTTCCTTGTGTCCTGACATCCATTTCCCAGAGCCTGCCTTCAACGTTATCTTTTTTGTTTACTGGCAGAACTAAATGGTCTTTGAGAGTAGATTTAAACCTTCTTCAATGCTGCTCATCCACAAAAGAAGCAAAGCTATAGGTGCAGTTATGTTGGGAGAATTCTGGTAAAAAGCCTGGTCTTTGATGTAAGAAGCTTTACATTTCCTGTTTGGCCAGGGTACAGAAACATTCAATTCATTCATTTTTTTGGAAAAGTTCTTTTCACTTTGTATTGCACTTTACAACAAACATTAGAAAAAGTTGCTTCTGCACACTAAGTACTAGGCAGGAATTTATTTTCATAGCACAGTCAGTGAATTTATTAATTTTCTTGATCTGTATGATATTTCAAGTTCAGTGACTCTTTTCCCCCTCTGTCCTGCCAGCACTGGAGCTGAAACTGATGATTTTCCATCTTCTTTTACAGTATGCCTGGGATGCAAATGAAGAGTACCTCTTCAAGGCAATGATGGCTTTTGCAATGAGAAGATACTCCAGCAAGAACACAACTCAGTAAGCATCTACTCTGACTTGCATTACAGCTATTAATGATGCATGTAGCAGTACACCTCTGCTGTACTGAGGTGTAGAAATCGTTATTTACAGCTTCTAAAAGCCAAACGTGCCAGCGTATTTCTTCAACACTCAGTTGTATGTTAAATTTTGCACTCTCTATCTTAAGCAGCATTCAGTCTTTGAACCAGTCTCCCCTCTACTGCTCTCAGTGGGGTTGTGCTAATTTACTCTATCAGAATCTGGCCGTAAGACACAATTACCTTCTGGTAACCACACTGAGAGGAGGAGCAGGGGTCCATCAGCAAGGCTGAGCAATGCGGTACAGATCCTTGAATAAGCAGCTTTGGTGCACATTTACTTGGTGTTCAGCTTAGGCAGTGTGCTGAGGATAAGCTGACTCAGAGGGCTGAAAGGTGGATAGCTGCGCTGGTGCTGAGTTCTGCTAAGGTATATCCATCTCTAATATTACAGTGGCTGAGTTACCTATCATCAGAATGTTTCATATGTTGCAGTTCAGACATAGATCAGCCATTAATTGGTTTGGGATTAAACCTACCCTAAGGCATTGAATATTCTTCTCAGGCTTCTGATCATTGCAACTTACGAAATTAGATGCCAGATCAGCAGACCATTTAGCACGCTGTTTCTTCAGTATGTTCTTCCCTTTCTTAAACAAGAAACCTCATGAGTGTATTCCTAGAGGCTTATTATTTTTTCATTGTTTTTCAATCTAAAAGGAAAGATTTATGGCTCTGGTACGTTAATGAGGATAAGGTTTTCAATTTACTCCCTGAAAAAACTGCTTCAGGCCATCAATGCATCAGATAAAGCATATTGCATATTTGCCAAGACATTAGTTATCTTCATTCATATGATGATTATTGTGGTTGCTGCATTTTCTCTTAAATAGAAGGTGCTCTCCCTGCTCCATGTCACAGAAGTGTTTGGTTCCTTGCTGTTTTATTTGTATTCCTTGGAAGGTGTCTCATTTGAGCAAGGAGCCATTACGCCAAGATTAACACAAATAGTCAAGTATATTTCCACTGCACACCTGCAAAAATGAGATCAAGATACCAGCTAATCAAAGGTTATTATGCAGGGTTGTTTTTTGTGGGTTTTTTTCCAGGTTTTCAGGAGAGTTTTTCTTCTGTCTCTGATCCGTAAAAGCTTGCTTCTGTATATCCATTTTAGTCCCTGGTCCTCCTTCTAAAATTATTGTTCTGTTCCCCCTTCAAAGCCATGATGCTTTTACCTGGCAAAATCCTATGTCACATGCCACTGAACTTTACCCTCTTCAAGTACTGCAGCTGTCTGCAGACTCAACTAATTTTAGAACGTTTGGTGTAGGAATGGGAAAAGTCAAACCAGTATGACAGGAATTAAAGTTTTAATGGATGGTTTATTTATGTGTTCTGGGAAGTCACAACATTTGTTCTCCTTTAACTCCTCCCAAGACAAATTTTCCTATGGACAACTACGATAATGGCAGTCTTACTCTGATTTGGAGGTAGGCTTGCATGCATCAACACTTTCCTGCTACTGAGTTTTTCAAAGGAGAGCTCAGTACAATATTTGCAAAAAGGTATGAGCATCTTCTGCCGCTTCTAACACAGTACAGGATTTCTTCATGAGGTATAATTTTCCAGGTAAAACTGATAGCTTTTCTAGGACTTTCAGATACCTTTAGGGTCATATGTAGACAGCCAATGTATTGCTATGCAGCTCTGGTATCTTCTAAAACTTATTAGGCAGCAGTCTGAAGATTTTCCTACCCATAGGTCTCTCCCAGATCTCATGAGACCTCAGAGTTTCCCTTCTGTGACTGAGAGCTTGTTGACCTCCCAGTATACCCCAAATAACATGCTTGTTTCCATTATTGGAAATAACATTCCTCTTTCCTAGCACTGTGGCTGGCAAGAGGCATCTGGGTACAGAGAAAGGAGCGTTGTCCATCTCCAACCCCTTTGCAGTGGGAATGGCAGTGGGGGGGCACTCATCATCCAGGAGGGAATAGCAGCGTGCAAAGCGTACTGGAGAAGCACTCTCACATAACTGGTATGAACAGTGGCAGGAGCTGGCAGAATGGTGAAGAGAGAAGCAGGAGTGGGAACTTAGAGAAGATGCAAGTACCCCTCATAGTTACAAGGCAGGTAAACCCCAGACTCTACTCAACCTTGATCCCAAAGAGTCTTGCTTTGCTTTAGACCAAGTGAAATCTTATATCTTTGGTCACTAAGAAGTTTTTCTGTTACGTTGTTGGTTAGGTAGAGTTTTTAATCTAGTGAAGTGTGTTTGTGCTACAGGCACTTGTATAGGTAAATACCAGCAGATTTTCTTCATGAGATGTAAAAGTATCATACACACTGTATCTCAGTTTCTCTGAAGTTAATTTCTAAACTAAACTTTAATAAATCATGGAACTGTGTTTAATGTTTGAAAGGTTTGATGAATTGTCAAGGTTGTGTGAAACAGGAAAAAGACACAATCCATTGAGTTACTCAGTAATTATTAATGCAGATAAAATAAAAGTTTATTTTGCAGTTGAGAAATACAAATCCTTTATTTCTTGCTCTCTGTATGACCTTTTGATTCACTCTCACCACATACATTCAAGAACTACCTGAGCCAACCTTTGATCTGTCATTGTTAAAAGATGATCGTCTACAGCCTGTTGTTAACTCTTCTTTCTCTAATCTGTGACTCATTTGAAATAATATGCATCTCTTTTGGGTCTGAGACTCGTTAATCTTTAAAGTAGAAAGAATGTGATCACTCGCATTTAAATGAAAGGATTTGCTTTTGTGTATCTGCTCCCAGTTTGTATGTAAGAAAGCTGCAGTTTTCATTATGGAGTGACCAGAAGTTCATCAGAATTGTCTGTCCTCTTAAGATAGGCATTTTTGGTACTTTAAAAATATTCTGACTACTCAGGACAACAAAATAAACTTCTAGAGATAAAGCTGTTGTATCAACGTGACTTCATGGCTGCTGGTCCTAACAAGGAAGAAAACAAAGGCACATTTGAGAGAACAGATGTGCAGCGCTAGGTGGGAAGAGGCTTGGCATTTTCTGGAGAGCCAGAGGTATACACCAGGGCCTCAGGGCCAGTGCTTTTCCATCAGCTAATGGCTGCCATATGTACCCAGTGCTCTTTCAGTCTTTGGCAGCTCTACTTATCCCTAAGTAATCTTCTAAATGTCCATAAGGATCAATTATGCTGTTTCAAGCCAGGATTCTTCAGGGTTTCCTGCCCTCTCCTCACTGGTGCTCACTTGCATATAGGAAAGGAGATTGATTTTGGGCTGGGAATACTAGGACCAGGATCCTGTCATTTTGATACTACAAATATCCTAAAGCAACTGTGGCGAAAGTCAGCTAAGGAAGTAAACAGATGTCCATATGAATGCTTACAAATACACTTAATTTGCAAAGTGCATGATAAAGTCAAGTTTTTCAAACCTAAACACTGAAAAGGCACAGTTTTCTAAGGCTTCAACAAGCTTTGAGTCAAATCTATGTTCAAATAACATGGGAAAAAAAAAGCATACCTGCTGAAAAGGAGTGGTCCCATTGGTGCTTGTTGAACTAGTCCATTTTGGTGTTTATGCAATCCTCTTTGAACTTCTTGTGAATGGTGTTATTCTTTTTGGAGCCTGGAAGGATTTACAGCATCCAGATTCTGCTGGTGAAAAGTGGCAGTGAAGCTGGGTTTTAGATGCTGATCAGGCAAGATTTTAGGCACAACAGGGAGCAGAAAGGAGGCAAAGTTTCCATATCTTAGTGTGAGCCTTGCTGCCCTATTCTGCTCCTTTTAGAGACAGACACACTGTCCCAGTGATCACTGCCTGCTCTATGTCATACTGAAAGCCTGGGTGCTGTAGGGATGACCTCATTCTTAAGAGTCCCTTTGAGTCTCTGAGGCTGTAGAGAATTACAGCATGTTCTGCCACTCCTTATGCATGAAATGCATCCTTCTATTGAGAGAATGAGCTCTGTTCACTCCTCACTTTTTGAGAACACTTAGAGAGGAATACGCACAGCTATTTTCTACTTGGATCAGTTTTTGAGTGCACCACAGGAATTCCAGCTTTAAGAGCTGCGGCAGTGTGAAGATTTAGGTCCTACTGTTACAAATTCTCCTGATGGAAAACTTCCTCCACAGATACAATTTTAGATATTCTGCGAAGTCAGCAAGAGTTTGTCAGCCACCAGCTAAAAGTAGATCCTTTTTTTTTCCCTCTCCTGTAAATTTTGTGCTTTGCTTTTATTTTGAGAGGAATAAATCTACTTTTATCTTCTGGCTGTTGCCAAAAAACTGATGTGAACATCTTTTAAAATCCCAGAGGATGGCTTTCCTCTTTTATCCAGGAAAATTATCTGTATTTGCAAAATTGATGTTCCAGAGAGGTAAAAGTGGGTATTTCAGCTCTGCAAAATCACTTCTTTCCATTTTATTGCATGTCTCTGTGGAATGTATACCTTTCCTGTAAATGAAAGTTTTTCCTTCCCAAACACACTGGTACCTGAACCACCACCCAAAAAAGCTTGAAGCAATAGGTATAGTATTTCAACAAAATATCAAGAGTGAACTACTGTGAACAAGCCAATTCCTGTCCTGCCAACAGCTATTGTTGTTCTGAGTGAAGAGTATGCATTTATGGGTATCATTTTCTGTCTTACATTCTTTCCTACTTTGTGCTTTCTGCTCTTCAGGCCATCATTGAAGTCCTATTAGCAGTCATTTAATTAAGATTGTAATTAGCCAGCAGATGGCACTACACAACAGAGCTCTGCGGCAGGTCACTGCTAGCAGTAGGGAATTTGTCACCCTGGGAAGGCTCAGAAACTGGAGCAGAAATGTTAAAACTTGCATTTTGGTGATGGACAAATCAAACCTCAAAACCGCAGATGGTAATGGGCATTACAAACATCCCTGTAGTTAACTGGAAGATACAAGACAGGGCAACTTTATTGTGCTTGTGGCCAGGAAGATGGTGGGCAAAGGTGAACAAAGTTTGGGCTGCCCTGTGGAAACAAAAATGGTCTTCATCCTGAGTCATGGGCTATTAGAATATCTGCTCACTGCTTGGATATAGCCAGTAAATCTGGATCCTGAGCCAAAGTCTTTGGGTTATTTGTTAATGATATGGAATTATTTCTTAATTTTTTTTCCATTCTTATTGCTCTAGCTCTCTGTCTTTCAATTGATAACACTTTGGATATCTTTCTATGATGCAAATTATATTCCTTGCCATGCTGTAGTAAACAGTGTCTTTGTAGCAGCTGCTGTATATCACATGTGTTTGGCTGGTTTGTTTGTTGTGTGAGTAAAATTTGAATAGAAAGAAGAACATAAGGGCACCATCTATCCTTAGTCACTATTTACTTACATTACACCTGCACTAGTATTCAATTATTTGGTCTAAATACTTATGATGATGTCATTCTGTGAGATATTTCTAATTATATTTCCATCTTTCCCTACTGCTGGTAGATTACAAGATTATAAGATTACAAAGAAACACACCTTAAAGATATTCTGCTCTCTTTTTATATAGTATGCCAAGAGAAGCTTCATGCCAGTGGCCTTTTGCTGTCAACTTCACATAAAACCAAGTAATCTTCTTTTGAAACATTTGAGATAAATATGTCGTAGCACAAACCAGAGGGCACAGGCCAGTGCCAGTATGATGTTTATATTTAGCCTGTTGACTCCACTCTGTGCCTGACAGTGCAGAAGGATGTCAAAGAGAATAATGTCAGTTTCTTTGTTCTTCCCTCCCGGCTGGTTTCCTCTCCTTCTCTATGAAAGTGTTCCCTATAGGAGGACTGCACTCACTTGAAAATTGTATGGGACGTCAACAGTGTCTAGCTCCTCAGTTGCAAAAAAAAAAATCTTATTTTACTAATGCATTTGCCCAGTGGACAAATATGGCCTTTTCACAGCCCAGATGATTAAGATACTTTTTTTTATTTTTATTTTTAATTGCACTACATGTATGTCCAAGACCAGGCAAGTTTGTAGTGTATTCAGAAATCATTTGAAGACCCACATTTGGTCTCAATAAGCTTAAATTTTTTCAGTCGTACTGAGAAATGAGAAATGCTGTGGATGATGTTTCTTTCTTGAGCATGAATGGTTACCTTTTTTCCCTCTTTAGAAAGCTACTGAATATTTCAATAATTTCTGTTTCAACCATCTGCAGAATTTCCAACGTGCTGCTTTGCAATGTGACGGATCGGGTGTCATTTTGGTTTGTGGTCACAGATTCCTCCAAAAACACGACAACTGTTCCAGGAAGTGAGGTAGAGGCAGCCATCAGGTACAGTTGCTAATCCTGCAGTTTCTCCTTCCTTGCTGACTGAGGACGATTTTTCTTTGGGCTCTCTGCCTCTGTAGGGACAATCTAATCTAAGTAGTTAAAACACCATGCTCTTTCAGGCATGCATGGCTAGCATGATTTGGAACAGTTCCATGGAATGCAATGTATGTGAGCTTTGGCATTCTAACTATAGAAGGAGTCTCTCTTAACACTGGAGCTTTAGGTGAAAACTAGCCATTTCCTGGAGCTGGGGCTGTAAGTTTTTTGTCATGTGCATAGCAGAAACACTGCTGTCATCCAGTTGCTACACTTCCCAGTGAGAGAGCCTTCTTCCCTAGATGACAGAATTCCAGCTTTTGGGGATTAGATCGATGTTATTTCATGTTCACTGCATGCCATGTGAACTTCTATACCAAGGTTAGTGACCACAGGCTCACTTTAGTGCTTGTCAAATGCAAGTTTTCAGATTTAACGTAGAAATAAATGTTTCCATGAGAAGGGCACGTGAACTATTCATGAAAAGAACTGGCTGTGTCCCAGCTTGGCTTAAATAGTCTTATACTCACATTGCTGTCATACTTTTTGCAGCACTTTTTGGAATGCCAGTCGCTATAGTAGCTGAGCATTACTTGTGCAAAATACCATGTGATACAAATCAGTTCACTTTCTACTCAATATTGCATGCTCTAGCCAATAAAAGCAAGAGTGCAGAGAGGGAAAAAGAAGTAATCTGACTCCAGTGGTCTGTCAGAGCTACGAAAGAGGTTTATGGGGATGACTCCCACAAGCAGCATAACTCACGTATCTTTCTTGAGCACCAAGTAGAAAACAGACCTCTTTGTTTTAAGACATTCTGTACTTTGTCTCGAAAATTCATGTTACCTCCATAGAGGTGTAATGCCTAATTCCTGATGAATGACTATGCGTTCTATTGGAAAGATTAACTTTTAAGCTTATGAGTAGATTAAAAACTGTTTCCTACAGAGACACCAAACAATAGCTTCATAGCATTAGTGGAGAAAGCAGATTATTTATTCACTGAAGCTCTCTAACAGTGTTGGAATGCAGGTTTTTTTTTTTTTTTTTCATTTGTGTTATTCTTTGAATCATTCAGAAGCTGATTTATTTAAGTCTTTTATGTGCCCTGTTTGCTGGAGAAATTGGATGCTATTATAGCATGTTTGTTTTTTTAACTGTTGTCTTTCATCCCATAAAGAAGAACATGCTATTAAAAAAGAAAAAAAATCCTGTCTAACTTAGAAAGAAGAAACAAAATAGTCTATAAAGCTATGTTTTTATTCTAGTGCTCCTGATTGCAGGCTTCCATACCAAACCATTATTCTAATTCCTTATACTACGTGGGTATCATGTAAGAATGCTACTCACAGACCAGGATTTTGTTTTATGAGTTTCTTTCAGAAACAAAGAACAAAGAAAACAACCTTTTCAGGGCTCTGTACGAGTCCCAAGATCTTGCATAAATATACATGAGACATTTATGAATATACAAACACATCTGCACCTGTAGTTACCTGAATGTGTTTCAGCGCATAATTCTGTAACTACAGCCATTAGATGAGGGTTAAAAATGCTTACTTCAGCTGCTCACAATGAATCATTTATATTTATAAGGATGAAAATCTCTTTTAATCACAGGTAGCTTACCTTATAATGAGTCTTATAATATGCCAGAGTTTTCAGCCCTCTCCAGGATTGCTAGCTTTCCACTAAGGGTAAGAACTTCCTGCTTAAAAGATAGTCAACATTATGATTTCCAAGAAAGGAATTTGCAAGGATTTTACTTTTGTAAAATATATCCCCTATGTTTTTTACTTTTGTAAAAAATATCCCCTATATCTTACAGGAACATTTCTTAGGAAATACTTGCTCTGTAGTAAATCAATTGAATTGTATACAAGAAAGAGGGTGAATTTTATAACTGCAACCAGAATCTATTAAGACCAATATGTGTAATTTATTTTATCAAAACTTTGAAGCATTTTGCAAAAGCTAATGAAATATATTGCTAAAGCCTTTCCAGGGTGCTTAGATTCAGACCTAAAAGTTGCTGCAAGTGCTCCAGAGTAGCAAATGTGAGTGAAGATACTGAAGATACCCATTCAAGGGTAGAAGTTGTGCTACTCATTTGAAAAAGTGTATTTCTCGAATTTACAGTTTCTCATAATGGAAAAAAATGTGCGAAATCCATTTAGATACATCCTATAAAGAAGGACATTTTGGCAATGGGGATGGATTCTTCTGGACTAAAGCATAATTAGTGCCTCACGGATCTAAGAAAATCTCCAGCAGCAAGAGCAGATATATGTGCTCATAACAGTTAGTATGGTTCTGTTTGAGAAATTAAGTGGCAGTGATCCTTTGATCAGAATCCTCTGAGCATTGCATGGTGGATCTACCAGTGCCATGCAATTGTGGAATGCTGTATGAACAAGATGTCACAGCCACCATTACAGGTTATTGTCTTCAGCATGTAATCCAAACCAGAAACCACTGATTTACTTCAGATCTCATCAGTGTTTTCCAGTTTTTCAGATAAATGCACATGCCAATCTGATGTTCAACACCCTGTAAGCATGTGTTCTCCAGCACCTCATCTATTAGACACTCATCTATGGATTACTGACAAGATCTATGCTGAAGGTGAAGGTCTGTGCAATCTACCAACATCATGTTAGATTAAATTAAACATTAAAGAATAAATCTTTAAAAACCCTGCCAGACTTGCAGCACATACATGAAATTATTTTTTTTCCTATCTTTTTTTATTTATAAAATATCTTTTTGAAGAGCTGTGATGGTTTTTTTTTGTGTGTGTGTTTCTATGAAGGATGAACCGGGACAGAATCAACAGCGCCTTCCTACTGAGTGACAAAACATTGCAGTTCCTGAAGATATCTACAACCTTATCACCTCCTGTTGAGCCCTCCACACCTGTCTGGCTTATTGTATTTGGTGTTGTTCTTTCTCTCATTGTGGCTGGAATTGTTTTCCTCATTGTTTCAGGGATTCGGAAACACAAGAAGTAAGCAGCTTAGCTTTTCTTCTGGTTTAACTGCAAGTTAAGTCAGGGTGGGTGGTTTTGCTTTTCAAATCTACTGATGTATCCTTGCTCCATCCATAGTTAAAGAGACCTTGTGCTCTTTGCTGAGGGTAAGGTTTAAGTTTTATTAGCTGTGAACTAGATGCCTAAGTAATGCTGAAGTATACTGAGAAAACAAGGAGGATAAAAGCTTGATCCTAGCAGCTATCTAAGTAGAGACAACAGCTTTTCAAAGGCTTTTGCTGTCATGTTTCTCAGTGTTTACCTGCTGTAGGTGAATCTCCTCTCACAGACTAGCCAAATAGCTACCAAGGGAGAGCATGCTGTCAGTGACTGCTCCCTTTCCAAGGCTGTAGTGTCAAAACCTGGCATGGCTAAAATGATGCTGCTATAGTTTGAGAAGCCTAAGTAGAAGATACAATAATGATTAAGGTATGGCTGAAGAAGGCCTACCCAGTGAAATGGAGCATCATTTCAGCTACCACTCGCATCCTGATTGTCACACTGATGAGTCTAAGGAAGCTTCATCGTGTGTTACCAAATGTCACTGTTAGCCTAGGTGTTTGCTGTTTGGCCATAGAGTATGAAAGAGATACTCATTTGTTTCTGCTCAGTGTCTGCCTTGTGACAACACTGGCAAACAGGGAAGGCCATTCATTCCTTTTGTGAATGCAAGTCCAACCTGTTGTGAACAGGTTGGAGCAGGCCAGAGGTTAATAGGTGACATTTTTATTCCTTCATCTCTGTTGACTTGGATCTGGAAATAAGAAATGGAAATTTCTCACTTAAGGTGAGATCCTGCCTTGGGAGTGAGTAGTAGTTGAGCTACTTCTCTACAGAGTGAATAGGAATCTACCATAGTCATAGTACAATAGTCTTCAGCTACCATGAAGATTAGATTAAATGCAACATTGTGACTTCAGAAACTGAAGAGAAATTGGAAAAAAGAAGGTGCTTTTTGTTTTTCTTTTTTAAACAACTAGATAGTACTATAATTATTGAATGTATTGTGAACTGTATCCCCAGATATATCAGGGCAATGGAATTACAAGTGAAAAACGTTGCTGAGGTTTTTCCTTTCTGCCTGGTTATCATCCCAAAAAAGATCTCAGAAGAACAGCACTTACTGTGAGGGATAACTAGCGCTCAGAGAGAGATATATAGTCTGAGTCCTTTCAGTTATACTTGCATGTGGAAGAGCTCCATTTGTGTACCTCCTTTGCTGTTGCAGAGAGATTGGACAGGTACTTGAGTCCTATTACAGTCTTTGATGTGATATGGGCTGAGTTATTTCATCCCCTGAATCTAGGCAATCTTGTCTATGAAACTGGAGAATAATGTTTCTTCCTGGAGCCCATACCTGCCCTCTGCATGCCTGTGTAGTGTCACGATTGTGTGACTCTGTGCAGCATCTAGCTCAAAGAGGGTCTTTGAACATTTCACATGAATGTAATATAAATAAATTATGTTAAATATCCACGATTGTTTTTCTAGCTAAAATAATCCTTTATGCTTTATACCAGGCTAAAAGACAGTATTTTCCCTTTCTGTTTTCAAACTAGCTCAACTGAGTTTTGAACAGTCTGTTACACTCCTTTTGCTCCCCTCTCTGTTTCCCTACTCTGTCTTTATGCATAGTCTTTGCTCAGGGTAGAGTCATCCACGGTTGATTTCTAACACTCCTTTCAAATCAATGGCATCTGCAGGCAGAGCTGAGAGAGAGAAAGGATAAAACAAGTACGTATTTGTTCTTCTGCTCACAGAAAGACTGGGAAGGTAAAAGAGATAGTCTGGACTATTTGGCTTTTTGAAAGAAGAGAGAATTTCAAAACTGCTTATCTCTTCTTCAAGTACCAAAGCATGTGGTAAGATGTGAAAAGTCTTCAGCACATTGGTAATGAGTTTTCCTCATTGCCAGCTATGTTGCCTAATAAGCTGTATTGGAAATATGATCTGGAGGACGGTGTTGATTTGTCATAAATCTGGCATTTTGTCTTTACTAGTCTTTAAAATACCAGTTAAATACCTCAGTTGAAATAAGCACCAAAGGACATGCTGCAGACTGCTCATACTCAGGTAGCAAGAAAGCACATGATAGACATCTAATAGAGTGTCAGTAATGAGTTAGACTTGTGTGTCATTTCTTGAACTGGAAGATTTTCTTAATTAGGCTTTCACTGTGCATCACTGCCAACATGTGAAAATCCAGGCCCCAGCTGCTTGCAGCCTGAAGTCATTCGCAGAGCTCCATGTGATTATAGCTATTGACTTTACAGTGAGATCAGATACACTGTCTCCCAATCTCATGTTTATTCTCCTTTAACAACAGCGATATGACTCCCTTCCCTTCCCTTCCCTTCCCTTCCCTTCCCTAGTGGCTATGCTGGATTAAAGTGAGGCATACCCTTTTCCCCTACTTCCCATTTTCAGCTGGGCTTCCCTTTATTTTTCTCCAAGCATCTGTTTTGCAGTTGAAGGCCCTCCTGAGCTGGATTTGATATATATGCCTTGAATAACCCATAATGTTTTCACTTCCCTTGACTTGTTGAGTCTCCCTTTGAACTCAGCAATTCTTAGCTTCTCTGAATTACTACAGCAACAAGTTCCACACATCTTCTACTCCTCTCTTTTCTTTTGAATCTGCACCTTAGTACTGTCTCTGTGTTTTTCTGCCCACACTTTTTTCTGTTAAAGAACCCTCCTTTCATCACTGCAGGAGCAGAAGGGGCAGCCAAAGATTGCCACTACTCCCACAGTTTATTTTTAGCAGGCTTGTAATGCCAAGAATTTCCCAAAGGCAATAAAATTTTATTATTCTTAATATCACCGTTATTAACAATTATACTGAGTCAGGTTGTTATGATTGTCCTGAGTCAGATTGTTACAGTATATGTTGCGGGATAGGAAGAAGCAGTAGAGCTGACCTTTGAGTTTCTTATCCTCTGAAACCGCTGATGCTGCAGGTTGTAAAGTACAGAACATTTTTCCACTATGAACTAGTAGATCTCAAGGTTAGAATAAATCTGGAATTAAAGGAACACTGTGACATGTTGACTGATGTTTCTGTATGATGCCTTCTTGTGGTTTTCATTTTAGGTGATTTTATTTATTATTTTAATATGGTTGTTGTGAGAACTGTGGCACATAAACATGAAAGCTATGCAATCGTTTATTCTAGAAAACAGAAGTATAATGAGATACTGAGTTGGAAGGTGGCTATTAATGAAGTTAGAACTAGAAGTGCAGATTTACAGTGCTGAAGTTCCTGACTTCTGGAGAGGATCATCAGGGAGTCTGAGTGTGTCCGGGTCTCCATCACTGGAGGCTTCAGTCAAAAGCTTATCTGTTTCTAAAAAGTATATCTTAATTTATCCAAATAGGTTGGTTGAAATCTCTGACATATATAACAGGCTAGATTTGTAGGGCAGTCCTTTCTGACTTCAAGCAAAAACATTAAGAGGTTTTTTCCATTTTTCTCCTACACCAACTTTACCCTTCTGTCATTTTACAGAACAAGGAGCCAAATGATGTATATAACATGTTTACAACATTTTCACTCCAGGTTTTCTGATTCCCAATCCTGATCTCAAACCACTTAAACCTGAGTTTCCTGCCCCAGGAACGAAAAGCCTCCCACCTTTTCTGATGTGTTTACAACAGCAAAGAGGCTTTGAGTGCGGCTGCCTGCTTTTGCACTTGTAGGTGGTCGTGAGCTAATGCAGCTAAAGTCAGTATAAGAGCAAATAATGCTGGGAAGCCTCTGCAACAGATTATGCCTTTCAGTACATAACCTACAGTGAGCTTCTGTCTAAGTGTGCAGTTTTCTGTCTGTGAAATCTTGGTGGAGTGCTGCAGGTCAATAGAATAAAACAATTTTCTCTTCCTTGTTTTTAGAAAGAATAAAGAGTCAACAGAGAGAGAAAATTTAGAAGAGAAAGGCGAAGTGACAATAACAATTGAAAATGGGATTCCTTGCGAAACACTGGATTTAAAAGCAGGCCACGTTAATGGAGTCTTTGCAGCAGATGATGAACGGTTCACGTCCTTATGAAATGCTGCCATTGCTATCTGGTGTTCTTTTGAAAGACTCCTGTGCCTACCTTATCTCGTCTCTACTCCTGAATGTCAAACATGAAGACAAGAAAAATGTCCTTTCACTTAATTTCCCTTGAGAGAACCTTTTACTGATAACACATACACTGGAGCTTCCATTACAATGCTTTTGTTTGTGAGCAAAGCAAATGTGAAGACCTCACATTATAGCCATTTACGATTTCAGAAAGATGTGTGACAGAACAGAGCTGAAACCTGCCTTGTGTCAGGCATTTAATTTTAAATGATTATTTAAATGCCTATTGTTGTTTTTTCCTTGATATAAACATGAAACTGCACTATTCTTGACTGTCACAGGGGAGATCATCTATCATTGTCAATTCTGTCTGGGCTTTCTTTTAAGCCATATACAAAAGTTTTCTCTGTAAGCTGACTTCTGTTTGCTGATACACTGTATGCTTTTGGATGGAATAGTGATCAGTGCATGAAGCTTTTAGTTTATTTGGGGGGATAAAAGCTCTCATAGCCTCTGTAAAAGCAGGTTAAAAAATGGCTGGGCCATCTACAGTGTTAAAGACTAGCAAAAATGTGTTTTTCATATTAAAAAGTCATAAATTACATGACCCGGAAACCAAAAGTGGCAATATCTTGAATTTTTTTTTAAATTAAAAGGAAAGGGAGACTTTCCACAGGTGCCTCCTATTGCCAATGGCCCAGCTCTCGTTGACTTTCTAAGAGCATACTGCAATTGTTTGAAAAATTTTCCTTACATTTCTTAATAATAAAATTAAAGCAGATTTCCAAGCTATATAGTGAGCCCAGGGTCAACTGAAATCTTCACTTGGCAGCTGGATAGCTGATTCAGCCCTTGAAATACCAGCTGCTGTTTTTCATACATCATGCCTGGCTGAGGTAAGTGGGCAGAGAGCATTCAGACCTAGGATTCCTAGGTATGTGGCTGGAGGCTGAGAGTATCAAACAATACCAGGCGCTAAATTTTATTGCTGGATTACTCTGTCATCAGCCATATATACAGACTAAGCTGTCTGTGCCCTACTCCTCTTCCTATTTAAACCAGTGATGTATTTCTTGCTGATTTGAGAAGAATTGGGCCTGAGTAAAGGAGAGTTTCATATGTGGGTAATTGCAGACAGAGGATATAAATACATTGAAGTAAAGTGGGACACCTGTTGGTCACCAAATGGCTGCCCACACCACTGGAGGTAGGTTCTGACCATTGGCTATCACATTTTTAGTGTCATGTTTGGATACAATGTTAGAAAACTCATTTGCTTATTTCACCCATAGGAACAGGTTAAATCAGGATAAAAACTCTTTGTAAAGGACCTTCCAGTGTCCTGAAAATTAAGGAAGCTTCTCATGCCCTCAGGTATGAATTCTTTAGCATTTTGGCTGTATCAGGCATCTTTGGCTATCCATTTGGCTTGACTCTGGCTCTGGGGAATGGGGTAAGCAGAATGGGGAGGGGAATGGTGAAACAGCAGGGTGAAACAGGGAGACGGAGCAAGCGGAGTGCAGAGCTGGGTGAGGGTGGGGGGAGGAGGGCAAAATATGAAATAAAACTGTGGTCCCACTAACCATTTGCCTCACTTGGTCTCCTTCTGTGTCCTACTGATGGGCCTGTCTGGACAAGGAATGTGACTTCTCCATGTTTTGGAGGGTGCACTGCTCGCTTCTCAGTTACTGATGATAGCATCTCATCGCTTCAAATAGCGTTCAACAACAAAGATACGTATTTCTCACAGGCACATCAAAGGTTAAGCTTGCTGTTGTTTAAGATCATTTGGGGGAAAGATACAGAGTACAGTCTTATTATTGCTTCCTCAGTCCTTGCTCCCAGGTCTTTCACTCAGTCAGAGTTTTATGTTGGTAATTCCAATCGCATCATTTCCAAACCTTTGCACTCTTCACATTCTTTATATGACAAATAGCTACACTGCAGTATGACCACAATAGATTGCTGTAGCAGCAGCACCTCTGCGATAGCCTGTGAAAGATTTCAGTACGAAGAGCTTAGTGGTGCAAGAGCAACCCCAAGGTACTGTATAAAAACTATCATTGTTCTGTATTCTGTTGTATGAGACCAGAATAAAATTCATATAGTATGACAAAGGACTGAGCATATGTGAGCATACTGCCATGGCCTGAGTGAAGGTCTGATTCAGCCTGTGGCAGTAGTCAGCAATTGGAAAATAGATTGAAAGCCCCTGAGCAAAACACTGTGTGGTGTGGGCTTAGCACTAGTGGCACGTATTTAATCACTGGCTTCCTCCCGGCTCACCTCTCAGCAGTGTAATTACTTTACAGCAGTTTGGTGTAATTTTCCGCTAATGATGATATGGGACTCACCCACAGCATACATCTTGCTTGTCTCTGCACTGACAGAAAATGGCTTGAGAGAAGTAAATGATACATGAGCAGACAGGTATCACACTTAGCAGCGCTTAGAAGTCAGTGTTGGTGTTAGCTCTTTAATTGAAATAGCTGCTGCAAATGAGGTTAATCAAGGGCATGCTGCTACAGAGGAAATAAATCTCTTTTCCAGTCTCTCTGTGTAGCAGAAACCTATTAGAAAACAAAGAGTGCTTTGATTTGGTAAAGCCTGTTCTCCATCACCTGCAAATGTTATGAAAACAATTTATATCTGTTGAGGACCTGGCCAGATGTTTTATGTAACTTTCACCATTTGTAATTTCTGCTTTTTTTAAACCACCTGCCATCAAAAGACGTGATAATAACAAGAAAGTAAGAAACAAGAGACAGAATATACAGTAAAATACTTCCTATTACAATGAGTCAGTTGTATTTGTGCTGAGCCAATGAATTTCAGCAAAAGAACATGGTGTGCTCAAGACAGAACTGTTTTATTTTCAGGAGCTGCCTTTGAGAAAAGAGAGAGGAAAGAAGAAAATTCAATTAAACAGAACAGCAAAAACAGAGAAGTTCTGTTTGAAGACCTGCAACATTTATCACCAGCTCCACATTCCCCATGAGTCAACATTTCAGGAAGGATGCTGCAGTTCTGTTCTGCTTACTTGTGAGAGGGTATCGATGTCTGTGTTAGTATAAGCACAAATCATGCACAAGTAAATAGTTTACACTGCTGCTCTGTATCTACGCACTTGGAGCACTGGAGAACATTGGAAACTTTAAAACACTACCCTTAAACTGAACAGATTTTGATACAACCACTTTCTGTACAGAACCTTGAGCATTGCATTGACCACAGGCTGGTTATATAAATTAACTTATAACTTTATAATTTCAGGAAGATGACAAACTGGGCAGATGCTAAAGACCATATTGGACCCATTCTGCCACTTGCTTTAAGGCAGTCTAACTGTTCTACAGACTGATGTCACTGTGTGTTGGACAAAACCGTGCTGTCACATCACCTTTCTCTTCTCCTCCAGAAAAAAATCCCTGAGGGGGGGGGGGGTCTGCCTGCAGCACTCTCCTTTAAATGTACTGTCTCTTGAAGTCTGGTAATCAGACCTGAACTGAATATTCCCCCTGCAGCTCTGCCAGGGCTGAAGATCCTGGAGATGCTACCCCATGTCCCTCTTGCAGCCATATGCTCCTACTTGTTCGTCTGGGTAGAACAGTTGTTGGTCATACTGACCTCCATGAACAGGGCTGCGCCCTCACAGAAGGCTTTGTTCTGTATTTTAGGGGAAGATACATCAGAAGGCACTTCACTGTTTCTGTACCATTCACAAACAAGAAAGGTGAAATAGGCACAAGGAGCCTTAGGGTAAAATTCAGATCTTGTTCTTTCATCACCTTAGAATAAAAATCATTCTCCAATGAATGCAAATAGCTGTATTAGCATTAGAACTTGTGGTTTGATAACTCATGTGTTGTTTTTGACCAAGCAAGGAATGTTACCACATCTTGAAGAGTTTTTCAAGTGTAACCTCCTACATGTAGGAAAATAAAATACCTACTTTAAAGCTTGGGAAAGAACTGCAAAAAAGTCTGAAAATAACTCTCAGTAAAAAAGTGGTGCTTATGTTTCTAGATACTCATAAAAATACATCTCAGGCATTTGGTCAGTTCATAACCTGCAACGTACAAAATTAGCTGTTTTAAATGTGCTAGGTTTTTATAGAAAATGCATTGTTCAACTGTCCTCAACCCATTAGCAATGAGCAATCTGTGCTTGGTTTTGTATGAGTGGTTCCTTTTGGCCTCTCGTGGTTTTTGTTTCCCTTTAATGTAGCGTGTAAGAAGAGATGTGTGCAATAGAGTGACGCTGCAGCTTCCTAGGCTACTGGGCAGTTGCTAAGGAAAAGTTTGCACTGTTGGATACGCCTAGTTTGAAGGGCTAAACTCAGTAGTTTTCACATCGCTTAAAGCTGAAGTACCTTGACAGTGGTCAGTGACATACACTTGCTGGCACAAATCTGTCAGTGTATTCAGTTTTTTGAATACACTAAGCACTGCGGATGCACTTATCATAATGCATTTGCATTTACAGCTGGATATTCTGTAGCTGGATTGATGTCAGCAATTCTGCCCAAAATGGTGTGGAGGAATTACAGCTTTACAGTACAGCTTCAACCTTGCTCTCAGCAAATTCAGCAGCTTCAGTGGGAACTGGATTTTGCTCAGGATCATTAAAAAAAAGTCTAGTTTTGTTAGTCACATCTCTTTCTTCCTGCTGTTCCCCTTTTCCTTAGAGATGACAACTTGAAGTTGTCAGAGCATCTTATTTGATTCAGCAATAGCTAAACAGAAAACATTTAATTTTTGAGAAATAGCTCGAGCTTCGCTTTTTTCTGGCATTACTCTTCTATCAGCTTCTGCTGCTCTCCTATCTTTGAGATCTTAATTGCAACAAATTACCATATGCAGCCTTTATCAGTTGTGGACCAGCAGGAATTTTAGACTTTGGACTTATGTTCTTCCATGATCTGAACAATGCATCAGAGGCTGATATGTGGATACATGGCTGTTGGAAAATGAAATAAGACCACTTGCTGCCTCCTCAGTGATCATGAAATGTGAAATGCTGATTGCCTGGAGGAAAAGCTGCATATCACAAGATTAATACCCTTAATACCCTTAGCTGCTGGGGCAAAGTGGCTCTTTATAATTGGCCAAAGTGTAAGGATTCAGTATGAATACTAGGAAAAAATTTCTCCTCAGAAAGAGTGTTGATGCAGTGGCACAGGCTGCTCAGGGAGGTGGTGGTGTCACCATCCCTGGAGGTTTTCAAAGAACGTGTCGATGTGGCACTGAGGGACTGTGGTCAGCGGGCATGGTGGGGTTGGGTTGACAGGAGAGATGATCGTGGATGTTTTTTCTGGCCTTAAAGATTTTATGATTCTATGATTACAAGGTATTGTACCCCTGCATGGTTTCCTCTTCCATCACCTTAACATATGGTCTCAAGTCTGACAGCGGCCTTCCCCGGTACAAATGAGGACACTTCATAATATTAGCCTGCCTGCTTGTATGCTCTTCCGTGCCTTCCTGAAAACCACTCAGCTTCATTGCTTTATCCTAAACCTTGCAAAAACACTTCAGTTCCCTGATGCTTCACAGACTTATCAGCAACTTTCCTTAGTTCTCAGTGTTGTTTTCAGGTGCAAGATTTGTTCCTGCCTGTGAGTTGCTTGACCCTTGGGCGATGCTCAGCAAGCTTTGAGCAGCTGTCAGCCCTTGGATAATAAAGGAGCAATGCAGAGGTGATAACTTCTTTTTAGGTCTGAGATCCAGTCACTGGAATGTGGCCATGCAGCATCCTGCCTCTAGCTCAGCCGCAGGGGCTACATCTGAGAAATGTCAGACACCACACATGCCAAAGAGTTACTCATGTGGGAAATAGGCTGCTCTGGGGATTAGAAGGACTGTTTGCCCAGCCCCTGTTTGGAGTGCAAGGATGAGGGAGAGGCTCTGGGATTGCTCCCGGCGATGCCCAGGAGCCATTGAGGCAGCGCAGCCCTCTCTCAGAACTGCATCAGGGCAATGCGCAACCCCTGGGCCGCTGCTGCCTCTGCAGAGCCACTTTACAGGAAGCCGTCAGAGCAAGGATCTGCCAGGTATTTAACTGATGTGAACCTCTCTTTGGCAAACAGCAGAGAAGCAGGGCGGCTACAGCCCTGCACAGGCAATAGAATAGCTTTTGGTCTTCCTGAGAATACTCCAGGCCAGGGACTCTGCAGCTGTGTCCCTTCTGAGCCCCTCTCTGCAAATCAGTTCCCGAGCAATACTCTTATGCACTGAGCAGAAAGACAGAATGATGAAGTATAGCAGAGCTTAAGTGGTACTCCTGTCTGGGAAAACTGTCCTGATAATGGTATTTTAAGCTATTTGAAGGGTGTGGTGCCCAATGCACAATGCACTGCTTTCTTACTGGAGCATACCCTAAATGCAATCCTCTCTTATCACAGCTCCCATTTCATAGCACAGCTCAGTCAGCACTGTAATAGTGAGGCAGAAGCAGTTCTGTCAGAGCCAAGATACATCAAACATTGGTGAGCAGCTCTGTAAGCAGACTGGGAGCAGCTGGGGGCCACAGCTCGCACTGC